CCACGTCTCATGTCTCCTGCATTGGCAGGAGGGTTCTTTGCCACTAGCGCTGCCTGGGAAGCCTTAATAGCATGGTATTAATTTGGTTGATGGCCTTATAAATACCATTTATCATATATAACTTTCATTCTGTAGTTTTTGACTTATAGCTGTATTTTTCAAGGCTTAGTTTTAGCAATATCCTGACTTGAATAGTATTTGATAGGGTTTATAAAGCCTTTCAAATTATAGCAATAGCATATGTCAGAAAAGTCTCAAAGAGTCACACACCACTGAGCAACTGAACACGCAGGCATGTCAGGATAACAATGTAATTCATGCTAAAATGACAAATAGGATTCCAGATGTCTTCAAGTAACCATAGTTCTGCTGACGCTGAGGATGAAGCGGACTACAGCATGCCAGCTAACAGGACTCTGCCAGGTGCTGGCAGTGAGAGAGAACAGTTCACAAGTCACTTCCTTAGGCAGCAAGGCAGTATTTCTATATCATACCACCATTGTTGGGACCTGGAGTTGAAACAAAGATTTTTTTAAACTAAAAACCTTTGAGATTCAGCAGATGCGGAAAGAAACCTTCTCAGAGCTTCCCTTATCTGACTAAAAACAGTAGCTTCTGGGAAATGAGGCTGCCATAAATCCCCTCTGTGGCTCTGAAGGCAGAAAGACTACTGCACCTGCATAAACAAACATTATTACAAACGTCTTATCCCATTTGTTCTCCTAAAAATCCACCTGTCTTTCCTAAGGAAACCCTTTTTCCTCCCTCCCTTGTCCCTAAATCTATAAACCTCTAATTTAAACCATTTAAAGAACTGCTTCTTTTGTTGGTTTTCATATGCATACAAATAAACCCTTTTCTCTTGTTAATCTCTCTTGTGTTAATCTCTCTTTAATTCATAGGCTCACAGACACTAAACCTCACAGAGTAAAGAAGTTTTTCCTTTCTAACATTTTAGATTCACAAGAATCAAATTTGCTTACCATGCATTTCCACAGCTGAATGCAGCCCTCCGCCTGCCCCACTGAATTTCATATACGCCTTAAAAACATTAGAAATTTGTTTTCTTCCTTTCAAGCTGCAACTCATTTTATCTGCTCACCAAAAAAACATTTGTGTGTGTGTGTGTGTGTGGAATGTAATCTTTTTAATTATTTTAAGAAAATTGATGTGTTACTTTTTGGTTTTTTAAGAAAATTTACATTATACTAGTTTCAAGTTGTTGTTCATTAAGTTCTGTCCCAGTCTTCCTGACTTCAGGGACTGCAGCACACCAGGCGCATCTGTCCTCCACTATCTCCTGGAGTTTGCTCGGATTCATGTCCACTGAGTCGGTGATGCCATCCAACCATCTCATCCTCTGTTGTCCCCTTCTCCTTTCGCCTTCAGTCTTTCCCAGCATCAGGGTCTTTTCCAAGGAGTCAGCTCTTTGCACCAGGTAGCCGAAGTATTGGAGGTTCAGCTTCAGCAACAATCCTTCCAATTAATATTCAGGACTGATCTCCTTTAGGATGGACTGGTTGGATCTCCTTGCCACCCAAGGGACTCTCAGGAGTCTTCTCCAACACCACAGTTCAAAAGCATTAATTCTTTGGCACTCAGCCTTCTTTATGGTCCAACTGTTACATCCATACACGACCACCGGAAAAACCATAGCTTTGACTAACCCTATTAGTTTCAAGAGCACATATAATTATTTGATATTTGCATATATTGTAAAATGATCACCACAATATGTCTACTTAACATCTAAGGATTTTCTTTTTTTCAACATGAAAAACCTCCAAGGAACTAAACAACAGCAACTAATTTAAAGAGGCTTTGTCCTGGCTGTGTAAGAATCAGTCTGATTCCTGGGCTATGATTTTCTTTTCCTTCAGAGTTACTTTGCAGAAATAGGAGGTAGGCTGTAGCTGTGGTCTGCCGTTTTCCATGCAGTTCTTACAGCTTGCTGCTGCAGGAAAAGGCTTTGAAACAGCCATTTTTCAGCTTACTTCTTACATTTGTTTCAGTAATATAGATGCTGAAGAACCCCAGCCTGCCAGCCTTGTCTGTGACTCTGAGGTGCTGTCTAAAACTATCACAATATTGTTAATCAGCTATACCCCAATACAGAGTAAAAAGTTGGGGAAAAAAAAGAACCACTCCATGTGTATCAAACCTATGGAGACGAGTTTTTTGTTTTTTTTTTTAAACAAGGAAATTATAGGAGTTTTTAAACGTATTTTAGAGATTAATCAGATTAACCTCTTTTCAGATATACAATTTACAAATATTTTCTTCCATTCTCTAGATTGCCTTTTTACACAGCTGATTGTTTCTTTTGCTGTGCAGAAGGATTTGAGGCTGAGCTAGTCCCACTTGTTTATTTTTGTTTTATCTTTTTGGAATGAAAATTCATGCCTGGAAGGCTACAGTCCTTGGGGTCACAAAGAGCCGGACATGACTGAGCTATTAACACTTATACCTTACACTACCTGGTGAACCCATACTATTTCTGTGATCTGTGTAATTTAGAGCCTTGCTACTGAAAGTGGGGTTCACACACTCAGTAGACAGCATGTGAGGAGACAAACTGTGTCTACCCCCTGCCAAGACCTTAGAATGTGACCATATTTGGAGGTAGGGTCTTTAAAGAGATAAATTAAAAGGAGGTCATTAGTGTAGGCCCTAATCCTATATGCCTGGTGCCCTATTAAGAAGGAGTTTGGACACAGACATGCAGAGAGGGCAGACGTGTGAAGGGACAGGGAGAAAGACGGCTGCTGTCTGTAAGGCAAGGAGTGAGGCCTCAGAAGAAACCAACCCTGCTGATACCTTGATCCTGGATTTCTAGACTCCAGAACTGTGAGAAAGTAAATTTCTGTTGTTTGAGTCTCCAAGTCTGTGATTCTTTGTTACGGCAGTCCTCAAAAACTAATACGGAGCATTAACATCACCTGGGAGCATCTTAGACGTACTCATTTTCAAGCCCCAACTCAGACATACCGAATCAGAATCTCTGGGGAGTGAAACCCCAAATCTGTGTTTTAGTAAGTCCTCTGAATGATACCTGTGCAGCTAAAGTTTAAGTAGCACTGACCCGGAGAAGTGTTTCTCAAGTTGTGCACCAGCCATCACCTGGGCAGCTTAGGTAAAGGAGCAGTGCCTGGGCCTCACCATAACATTCTGGTTCAGCTGGTTGAGGGTCAAATGGGCAGCGGCCGCAAAGGCAGACCCGGTTTAGATATTTTCTAAAGCGGCCCTGTTGACTCTAAGGGACAGCCAGGGCTGAGCTCCCCAGGTCTAGAGCCTGCTGACGTGGTCTGGAAACCTGCAGAAGAGATGGCTGAGTGTGAGTACTTTGGGTAAACTGAGGCAGCTTACTAACCTCCTAACATAAGAGGCCTCATCAGTAGTGTGTGATTTCAAGAGCAAGACGGATTCCTCCTCTAGAAATGATGACCCATCCCTCTTCTACCTGCAAATCCTCAGCTCCTCTCTATGACTTGGTGTGATGGTTAGTTTAATGTATCAACTTGACTGAGGTGCCCAGACCAAACATTATTTCTAGGTATGTCTGTGAGGCTGTTTCCAGATGAGATTAACCATTTGAATTGGTGGACTCAGTATATGGCCCTCCCCCACGTGGCTGAGCTTCATCCCATCCATTGGGGGTCTGAACAGAACAAAAAGCAGAAACGGGTGGAATTTGCCTCTTTTTCCCTTGCCTTGTTTCTAGAGCTCAGACATCTCAACTCATCATCTCAAGACCGCAGACTGAGATTTATATCATCAGCTCCCGTGGGTCTCAGGCCTTCAGACTCCAACAGAATTACGCCACCAACTTGGCTGGGTCTCCAGCTTGCAGATGGAAGATCGTGGGTCCTCTCAGCCTCCATATCTTGTGAGCCAATTCCTCATGATAAACTCCATTTAGATAGATATGAAGAAAGAAGAAGGAAGGAAGGAACAAAGATAGGAAGAAAGAAATATTTCTTTCTGCCTCTGTTTCTCTGGAAAAACTTGGACAAGCACAAACACCATGGAGGTAACAGCATCTTACTAGATGGGACCAGCCTGACACCAGATTGAAAGGGGGAAATTCAGGGGTTCTGGACCTGGCGTTATTGCCCTTAGTCTTACATGGACTGGCGATGTGCAAGGGTCCTTCAGAACAGCTTAAGGATGTATGTGGCCATTTCTCTGAGGGCTTAGTAAAGCTTATATTCTAAGCTTCCAGGATTCCTGTTTAGGATTTTATGAACTCTGAGGTATAAATACCTGATTAGATTTGCTGAGCCCTTTCTTCCTGTGTTTGCATTTTAAAAAGGGATACGCTGAGCACCTCATCCATCGTCTCATTTAACCCTCACAACAATGCTGGAAGTAAATTGGGAGAACTTGAACCTAAACCATCTGGACCCACACAGTTCACTGTCTGTATTAGCATGACTTTCACCACTGCCTCCAGTAATATGCTTTAGGAAACTCTTGCCCAGGGAGATAAAACTATACACAATTTTTGCTACTGTCCTGAAAGTACTCCATGGTTCTTATCAATTCTCAAACGTTCCTTTAGAAAACGTGTCCTGATGTGTCTGTTAAGCCCTTGCTCAGTCCTAAACAAGCCCCAAACCTATAAATCCCCCACCACTGCCCTGTCTTCACGAGATGCTGCTAAGACTCTGTCAAGGAAGGGATCGCCCTGACCTCAGTGAACTACAAACTCCGCTTCGCTTTGTCCACCAGTTCCCTCGTGGTGCCCTGTGGAGCAGCATTTGACAGCACCATGCTTATATCCATTTTGCAAAGTAGGAAATTGAGGCTTAGTTAATTTATCCAAAGATACAGAGCTAGTAAGTGGTGGGTCCAGGGTTCAAATCCTGCCATTCAGATTCTAGAAAGCACACTCTCAGTCACATCTACACCACCTCTCTCTACATTTGAAATCATGTAATACAGTCACTTATTCTTCCTCTACCAAGGATCAACCAAGAAAAACAAATACAAACTGTGAAAGAACATGTGCCCTCAGGCTCCTCTCCTCACTGCCTGGGCTGTGTCTCTGCTGACAAAGGTGGTCACAGGCCAGGACTTCCTCAGATAGGTTGAAGAACCCTTTGGAAGAAAGAGGGGAGAGTTAGGTAATGTGGGAAGCTCCATTTTGTCAGTGACCAGCACATTCCCCTGCCTCAATTCACGCAGCTTCACAGTAGACAATAGTGTGCATAAGTGCACGCTCGGTCGTGTCCAACTCTTTGAGACCCCAAGGACTGGGGCCCGAAGGCTCCTCTGTCCACAGGATTTCCCAGGCAGGAGTACTGGAGTAGGTTGCCATTTCCTTCTCCAGCGGATCTTCCTGACCAGGCATCAAACCTACGTCTCCTGCCATCTCCTGCATTGGCAGGAGGATTCTTTACCACTGTGCCATCTGGGAAGCCCCAATCTGACAATCATGGGTCACTTAAAAATCGCAGGGGAGCCAGAACTTAAAACGGATGGCCCTCTGACCGACGCCATGCTTTAAGCTTTGCTGAAGCCAGGACTGTGGTGCTCTCCAAGCCCCAGGACACTCCTGCCCGCTGAGATCATTACAGAAAAGGCAGTGTGTTACCTGGGGTCTGTTACTGCTTTCCTTTGATGCCCATCTGCCTCAGCCACCCTTGCCCATTCAGAGAGCACTGCCCGCCCACCACCATCATGTCCCTGGCATCCCAGGGTGAACACACTCCCCGCTTCACACTGAAGACCAGCAAGCAGCTTCTTCCTGCTCCCCACCCCAGAGCCCACTTTCTCTGTCTCCAGCCTGCTGCCAGCCCTGTCTTGCAATGCAAAGTAGGAAGTCCAACGTCCTGGAAATTCCAGCAGACCACGCCTTGGCAACAGACAGCAGGCAGGCAGATGCCTGCTGCAATGGGTGGGGAAGCTTTCCGACCTGGCGGCACCTCCCAGATGGAGATGAAAACCCAACACAAACTGTGGAAGAACGTGTGCCTTCGGGCTCCATCGCCTCACTGCCTGGGCCGCATCTCTGCTGTTAGGAGTGGTCACAGGCCAGGACCTTAGGAAGCAGGATCCTCTGGGGAAGTTAGGAAGGTGGGGGGCTCAGCTTTGCAGGGATAGTGCACTCCTCTGCCTCAGTTCACGCAGCTTCTTACTGACCCACCAGGAGTCACTTAAGTTCAGGTCTGCTACAGGTTAGATCACACATGTCAACGAGGGGACTTACAACAGCTACTTGGGGAGACGTGTGTGCTCACTCATTTAGCAGACCCAAACCAAGGGCCTGCTCACATACTGTGGACATCAGCCCACTGCAATCAGCAACCCCTGTGGCCCTCCCCACTCACCACAGCTTCAGTCTCTTGCTCCACCGGCTTATTACCTGTTTGCTCACTGTTGCTGAATAACAAATCAACCCCAAACAGGAACGTTAAACAATAACCATTTTCTTTTCTGACAATTCTGTGGATTGGCTGGGCAGTCTTTCTGCTGGTCTTGTGGGATCGATCGTGTGAATGTGTTCAGCAAGGGGCAAGCTGGCCGCTGGGACGGGACCCCTCTTTCCAGGAGGTCTCTGAAGGTCTCTCGAGGGTTTCTCTTTACGCTGTTCTGGAGCAGTGATCTAAGAAGGCAAGGGCAGAAGCTACAAGTTTCGCTGGGGCCTTGGAAGTCACTTCTGCCACCTCCTGTCAGTCTCAGCAAGTCACAGGGACCCTAGACTCAAGGCGTGGGGGAGTGGACTACACTTCCTGATAGGGGTATTGTGTTTTCACTGGGGGTACAACGAGGAAGTGACTCCATTATCCACAAAGACGCGGGAAGCTTCTTAATATTCACTATTAATAATGACTAAGCAGACAAAGCCTGCTTACCATGGACTGGGTACTGTGCTAAGCACTTGACAAGAACCCAGTGATAAACATTATCTCCCAATGCTCCCGTTTCCATGTGGAGAAGGNTTCTCCGTTTCCACTTGTTCTTCACCTCTTGAGAGTCAAGCAGTTGGAACCCAGAGATCAACAGAGGCATCCTGACCTTGGAAAATTCAGTTAGGGTTGACTCGAAACCCTTTCTCACCAGAAGTGTGTTGAAAGTTCTAAGTCTCGCCCACTCCCCTGGATTTGGGGCAGGAACACCAGTTTATCTCATTTTACCTTACTTTAGTGGGTTGTGACTCCACCATCCTATTTCCACCAAATTATAAAATATCTTACCATCTTGTATGTGCTATTTCTCCCCTACACTAGCCATGGAATACAGACAAATTACCTTGACTTCCCCACGTACACAGCCCTAAGACCAACCGTGTAGGAAGCAAGCAGACCAGGCTGGTGGCGGGCAGTGTTGCAGGAATTTTGTGCTGCTCAGGCCTCTCAAGCCTCTGTTGAGACCTGTAACTGTCCATCCTTGCTCCCCTTGACATTCCACTTCATTATGTAAAACTTCAAGCATGTCTAATAGAAGAGAGAATATTACAATGAACCCTATGCTTCCATCACTTAATTTCAACAATTACCGACTCACAACCAAGAGTCGTTTCATCTATATGTCTCATCCACTCCCATTGGGATTATTGCAAAGCAGACTTTAGCTAGGGCATCCCAAGTGGCACTAGTGGTAAAGAACTCACCTGCCAATGCAGGAGACAGAAGAGATGAGGGTTGATCCCTGGAGGATCCCTGAAAGCTCCCCTGGAGGAGGGCATGGAAACCCACTCCAGTATTCTTGCCTGGAGAATCCCATGGACAGAGGAGCCTGGTGGGTTGCAAGGAATTGAACATGACTGAATCAACCCAGCACACACACGCAAACTCTAGATGTCACTTCATTCACAAATGTCTCAGCTTCCATCTCTAAAAGAACTGCTTTTAAAAGCATGACCAGGACCAGGCTGCTAGAGAGCAGCCCCCGCTCGCCACGACTAGAGAGGAGCCCCCGCTCGCCACAACCTGAGAAAGACCACACACAGCAACAAAGACCCAGCACAGCTGAAACATAATATTTTTTAAAAAGCTTTTAAAAACATAACCACCATATCAATACCCTCCTAAACATAAGCAACAGCACTTCTCCAATACCAGCGAGTACCAAAGCAGGATTCCTCGCCTCCTGGTCCTACCTCTCAGCATCCCCCAGTCCCAAGCACAGCTAACTGAAATGACTTGCACGTGTGTATCTCTGGCAGCTCTCAGGTCTCTACGCTGCCACCCAGACCCAAGGACCACCTACCTGAACGCGGTGGACTGCCTCCCGGGCAGAGCAGGCTCAGGGCCTACAGCCCACAGTACTTCTAGGAACTTACAAAGATGGTTTAGTTCTTTTTATACGAGAAGGAAAAAAACGAACTTTTAGTTTAAAAAAAAAGTCTTAATGTAAAATACTGATATGTTCATCTTTAATATAGTCATAAAATATAATTTTAATATGGTTCAACTAAGCTTACCTAATGAGAACTTTCAATTAAGCTTTCATCTTAAAACCAGAGGAGTGAAGGACAGAATATTATCAGAGGCAGAATAAAACAGTTTAACACTTATCCTGTGTCCTAGGAAATTTCAGGCCTTTCTGAACTAGTGGCTTTAAAGAAAAAACAAATCCTTTGATAGACTATGAATAGTCTCATTGATGCCATTTTCCAAAATGGACAATATTAACTTACCCAAATTTCACAAATCTAATAATACTATTCTCCACCTTTTTGCTAATAAGGAGCTGAAAATCACTCCAAGGCTTAACAGAGACAGTTAATACAACCATCTGGGAATAAAAGCTGCAGAAAGGTGAACATTTGCAGCTATAACACTTGACAGCTAAAAGAGGTGAGAAGACATTTGAAGCTTCTTAGCAAAATTATTATAACTTTTGGCAGTTAATCACAAGCCTCTGTATAATTCCTCAGTGATCTTATTTAATAACTGCTTCTTTAAAGGATTTAGGAAACTTTTAATTTATACACAAACACAAAATAAAGACAAGCACACATACATATGAACATACACACACATATCCACTTCAGGGAGCAAGTAAAAACAAATTCAGATTAAAGTATTGATACAAGTAACCAAGCAGAAAAGCGGCACAGATCAGCTGTCAATCTCCTGGGGTAGTGGTGGAGGTGATGATGGTAGTAGCTGTTATTTTTTGGTTTCCTGCTAGGAATTTTATTTGCTGAGGGGGCTCACCACATTTGAACATTACATTCATTAAGCGCTAAGATTCTTGTGTGCAAGTCAAAGGAGGAGACAGGTAAAAAGTGAACGTAATTTAGGGCTTTAAAGACAGAACTGGAGTTTGTGGCAAGCCGCAATCTGCCTAAAAGTAGTTTGAATATCACAGACTCTCACCTTTCTTGCTGAATTTTCATAGATATCCTTGAATAGATGTTTCTTTATTTGCTGTTTGTCTTAAGGGTCATTTCCAGAAACTTTAGTTTTTGTTTTACTTGGCTGCGCCAGATCTTAGTTGTGGCATGCAGGATCTTTCATCTTTGTGGAGGCGCCCAAACTCTTTAGTCGCAGCATGTGGGATCTAGTTCCCTGACCAGGGATGGAACCCACGCCCCCTGCATTGGGAGCATGAAATCTTAGCCACTGAACCACCAGGGAATTCCCCATATTTCATTTTAACCTTAAACCTAGCTTTTTTTCTTTTCCTTCTATCTAAAAAAACGAAAACAAACAAACCCCCCCCCCCCAAATCAAACCAAAACAAAAAACAACCAAAACTACTGCATGCTATTACCTCTCCATGACACCAGTTACTAGCTTAACATAAAGGCTTTAGAGATAGAGCTCAATCATCTGTAAAACTGGTTTCCAAACAAGCTCATTTTCATGAAAATCTAGATAGGCCATAAAAGTTACTTTACTCCATAAAATACTAATCCATGGAGATAATAAAACAAATTAAATTTAAAAAATTCTGGGTGGATGCAGTTTGACAAAGCATTATAGTGCTTACCAAATGCCTAGTTTCTGTCACTCATGATAAATGACTCTGAGTGTGAGAGAAGGAAGAGGCTGGTGGAGACGGAATCATTTAATCTATTTCCTGTGGAAACACGAGGCAGCACTGTTTTTTGGGGGGCAGCACTGCCTTCACCCTTGGCTGCATGACATTTATGCTTCTGTAAAATGGAGATGAAAACACTTCACCACAGCAACCCCAAGAACCAAAAGACTCCATCACCTTATTCCCCAGAAGAATGAGTCCTCTTTTGAGCTACAAAAGCTACCCAAGGCTCCCTTCTGCTTCCAGTTGTGATGATAAATAAATAGCAGTAAAACATAAAGTCTACTGGTTTAATCAAACATTTTGAGAAATGAAAAGCTATCATCTAGAATACTGCTTCATAACCTTTTCCAGGTCATGAATTAGTTTCAGACTATGATAAGAACCATGGATGTGGATTTCTCTGGTGGTCTGGTGATAAAGAACCCAACGACCAGTGCGGATGACATGGTTCATTCCCTAGTCTGAGAAGGTTTCACATGCTTCCAGAGAAACTAAGCCCACACACCACAATTACAGAGCCTGGGTGCTGCAGCTAGAGAAAGATCACAAGCAGCAAGAAGATGCAGCACAGCCAAATAAAGAACCGTGGGTGCTATTCCCAGCACACTGACATACTTGCAATTGTACATGAACTCAGAGAAGATTTATGGACCCTGCAAAGGCTGTCTTCAGACTCTAGGTTAAAAAATTCTGATCCACAGTAAGCAGAAATTACCAACTTCATCAATAATTTGATTTTAATGTATAACTATATTTTTTTTATAAAATGATACATCAATTTGGAGCTGAAAGTTACAATTTGACTTATAACTCTATGGTAATATAATCTAGGCATATAAACTCTGGATCTCAATGTTCTCGCTTGTAAACTGAAGATGATAATAATTATCTCATAAGGTCACTGTATTTTCTTTTATATATATCTAGTGCAGCACTTGCCACAAAAATATTGAGTAAATGTTCACTTACTCATTCAAAAAAATATAGTAACCTGTTTCCTAAATTTCATATACAGAGTATAGAAAGCATTTTGACTTATCCACAAAGGCTTCACCGTTTTTCAGTGTTACTTCTTGGTAATGAGGGGGCAATGGAAAAGTAACACGAAGAATGATTTCAGTCTTCAGGATTTATTTGAGAAGACAGTGAGATGAGATCGGCTACTGGAGAACATAGATCTCACCAGGAGAAGAAGAGCAAACCCAGCAAATATAAGGAGGTTTTGTTTCTTCAGGTCAGTCAGAGCAATGAGATCGCTAAGACATGCATGAGGAAAGAAGTAAGGATAGTAAGGTGGGCTATCATTTTCTCCTTAAAGCATGCTGGAGTCCCCAGACCTGCTAAAGACATGATTGCAGGTCACAGCAGCGTGTTCCCTAGAGGTCCTGTGTGTACTGAGTGGTGGGGGCTACAAACCAACAGCACCAGACCAGGGAACTGCGGCTTTCTGCTTTTAACGTGTAATAGGTTCTGCCAACTCCTGGATCCTCGGAGAACACTGTGTTTTCAAAGCAGCTGGCTTGACTTTAAAGACTTCTGGATCATAATATACAATATGCATAGGAGTCCTGAAATGGAAAAAAACATTCGACTTGAAATAGGATGAAAGGGAAAGAGAACTAACATTCCACAGGCATCCACTATATGTTAGGCACCGTGATATTATCCCGTTTTATACTTGATCTTAGCCAAAAGGCCGAGAAGCGATTTTTATCCCGTTTTGATTTTCATAAGCATCTCATAAAACAGGTATCTTTGACCTCCACTATACAGATAAGGAGATGAAGGCTCAGGCAAGTCGTAAGAATGACCTGTGGTCAAACCTAGATTTGTGTCAGATTCCAAAGCCTTTCCTCTTTCCATAGAAAGCAAATTCTGGAAATTCCTCAATAATTTGGCAATGTTAAAACAAAGCCAGACAGTTCACTAGTGAACTTGAAGAAATCATGTTTTTTTGAAGTTTCCATCCTTAACCACCAAATAAGAATTTTGCTACCAGGATAGAATCTTGAGTACCTGATCTTACTCTTCCCTTTCCTTTGTCAGTGTACGGAGAATGAGTGCCATTTCATTTGATGTTTAACTTTTTTTTTTTCCAAAAAAGAAAAACCTATTGCAAAATTTTAAAATATTTTATTATATAACATTGAATATATTTCCTATTCCCTGAGCTCAAGACTACTACAACTTTTTCAGTTATGTTTTCTTAATGGTGCTGGAGAAAGGGGATCAAACATTATCCCTTGAAGGTAACAAAATGAATTGAGGTTCAGGCAAGTTGAGAGGTCTTCTGAAAAACGAAAGGAATTAGAGGCAAGCTTTTCTTTGTTTAATATATTTCCCGATTTATTTGAAATAGTTCATCCATGTACATGATGCAAAAACGTTCAAAAATTACAAAAGTCTATTTAGGGAAAAGTAAGTCTTCCTCCCATCCTAGCTCCCTAGGCTCCCAAAGTAACCATTGTTACCAGCTGATTATGTACTCCTCTGAGATAATATAAGTGGGCTCAGCCCATAAAGAATCTGCCTGCAATGTAGGAAATTGTAACAATTATGTTTCTGTCCTATAATTTATTTTCCTTAACAATATAAGTATAGATGTGTGTGAGTCACTCAGTCCTGTCCCACTCATTGCCACCCCATGGACTGTAGCCCAACAGGCTCCTCTGTCCATGGAATTCTCCAGGCAAGAATACT